ATTTTGAAAAAGCATATGAACATTGGACAAATAAAAAAGTAAGAATAAATAGTTATTCAATATAAATTTTAAATTTTCATTAAAAAATTTTTTTGGTGATGATCAACAAATGTGCGCATTTTTTATGTAACACACGCGCCCGCACACAATTTCACACACTGTATTTTACTAAACGTTGTGCGTGAAATTTAAATTGGCCAATCAGAAATTTGATCTAAAAATAAATAAAATCACTGTTGATGAATATTGTAAAAAATTCTAGCCAGCTAATACTAACATTTGATCAAATGAATTATTTATTCTTATTGAGAAATTCAATTAAAACATAATAAAAAATCGATTAATATAAAAATTAAAAAAATTAACCAACTTATTGATCAAAAAGTTTATAATTTTCTCTCAAAACAGTATATTATGAAGATTATTTTGGTTCAATCTATTTCTTTTTTTTTAATATCAATACTATTATTAATATTACTACTATTATTAATATTATTATTAATACTATTATTAATATTACTGTTATTAATATTATTAATATTATTAATATTAGGGAATTGTTATTCGCACCCCTCCGTGACTGTGTAGTAATGTGACCAATGAATGGCTTTAAAATGTGATGATTTTATTGGTTCATCTTTGTCTTAGTCACGGGAGGGTGCGAATAACAATTCTCTAATATTATTATTACTACAAATACTATTGCTATTTAACTTATCATAATCAAATGTTTCATTATTATTAATACTATTATTATCATTACTATTATCATCATTGCTGTGTTTATTACTACTACTGCTACTAATACAATTATTATTAATATTACTACTGTTATTTAACCCATTGTTAATATTGTTATGCAATGACCCACCAGACCAAGAATTTGCTTTGCTACGAGTGTTGGAACTAATTAATTGCTTATTTTGTGGATTAGTTTTCTTTTTCTTTTTTGGCGGTATTACGAATGAATGAATATTTTTTATTATTTTTGAGAATAGAATTTGATTGGCTCAAGCCGGCTAAGCCGATAAATTTCTTAGCCGGCTAACATCACTTAATTAAATATTAATTAATTACTTTTGCTACTTTTTAAATTTGGCCAAGACATCTCTGGTTCACGCTTTTCAATCTTGTGTATCCTTGAATCACGGATTGACCAGTTTTTCGAAAACTAAAATCCCAAGAAGGCACCCTGCTCATTACTACGTATACCAGACCAGGCGTGAACATATTTTCATCAATATTGACAGTTGCATGAAGTAATGTCAATCCGTGCACAGTAAGAGCGAAGGCACTCTGCGGAGAAAATTGTCGACTTGATGCAGGACCTCCATTTAAGTTATTTCTAGAGATGGGCAGATCAGTACTATACGTATAGTGCGTATAGTTCTAGAAAAATATAGTAGTAAATGTAAATCAATTCCTGTTTAGGTTATTGCCAAATAATAAATGTGATGTTACACATAAAAATTAATCTCTTCTCACGATAATATATATTTTAAACTTGCCTGCAATTTGGCAACATTTTAATATTAACGTTCTAGTTCAATATCTAGATGTGAAAAACATTTACGTCTTTGTCCAAATGCCACAATTCAAATTAAAAGAAATTATTTTGGAGAACATTTTAATACTTCAAATACTTGGTGTACAGGTAAATTACAACATAATTGAAGATTTCATCAAAGAAGCTGATGAAAATTTTATTGAAGAATCAAATAAAAATGAAAGAAGTTTTGATTTTTATGATATTTAATTCATTCAATATAATTAATGATTCATAAATAAAAACCTAAAAAAGTGTAGGTTGAATAAATTAAAGATTTATGCTTATCGTAATAAGCCAAATTATTTTTTTTTTCTTATTATTATTATTATTATTCAGTTTTGTATTACATTGGAAAATCACCCAATCAAAATTCAACACTACTATACGTACTATACGTACTTATATGCACTATACGTAAAGTATCGTATAGTGTCATATAGTGTTCAACTATACGCCATTTGCCCATCTCTAAATATTACCAATTTGTCTGATCCACACACTCTACTAAAAAACAATAATTATTATCAATGCTAAATATTCAATGTTGATATTGTTGCCATCACTATCATCACCTCATTTATCATTAGTACGATATATAAGCCGACGAAATGAACTGTTGACAAAATAATTTTCGACTAAATGAACTTTCGACAAAACAAACTTTCAACAAAATGATTGTCGATGAAATGAACTTTCGACAAAATGATTGTTGACGAAATGATTGTTGATGAAGTGATTGTCGATGAAATAATTTTCGATGAAATGAACTTTCAACGAAATGAACTTTCGATGAAACAAACTTTCGACGAAATGGGTGTCGACGAAATGATTGTCAACAAAATGATTTTTGACAAAGTAAACAGGACCGATGTTTAAAATGTTGCCAAATTGCACTTTGATAATTTTAAAATATTGTGATTTAATTTTTACGTGTACATTGTAATATAGATCTATACATAGTACTGATCTGCCCATATCTAATTACAATAATACCTAGGGGTAAGTAAATAAGTGGGGGGGACAACTCAATGTTACACATATAGATTTTGTGAATCCAAAACTGTCACGCACTATGAAATTACTAGTATTTATTAGTAGAAATAAATAAAACGCAAAACATGTACATATTGTAAAATAAAATTTTATATATCACCACACGTTAAAATTTTTTTCCTTGTAAGAACAAATCTTCAGCTT